CTGCCTAAACAAGCCTGTATGTATGCTTGTCCAAGAAATTTTTGGATAAAATACAAACCGCACAACATCAAAATCGCATAAAAATAATCCGCATAAAAAGAGACCTTACAGTATATATATATATATATATCAATAAATTTTATGACAATAATAAATTTTAATAATAGAAGTGTATGTATAAATATGTACTGATTCTTTATTACTCAACTGGTGATATAGACAGATCGAATCATAACTTGAAGCGACTTATATATGAAGAGAAGTTGTACCAATTTAATAGTGAAGAATTCGAACAAATTAACAGTTTATAAAAGTTGACATTCCTAATTAAAATTATGGTCGAACGTGAAATATCTGCAGAAATTGTTTATCAACCAACTTTCAAAATACTAAAAATTATTGGTGCAAATATTAGTTTTTCAAAAGGTAAAAACGATGGTTGGATGAAAATTTTTGTATTATTTATGAAAATATATTTCATTTTTATAACTGCGATTTATTCTATAATTTTTATATCTAATGACGAAAAATTGGCATTAAAATTATGCGATAATTCTGGAATGTATAAACAGAATTCACTTTATGTAAGATGCATGAAATTAGTATTAAGTTTGTTGAATTTGAAACAGTTAATTACTTGGAATTCCTCGAAGTATAAATTCTTACTTAAAAAAAATAAACTGGTGTTGGATCGTGTCATAAACGAACCTATTTTTAAAAAGAGATTTCTTTATAAATTAATAAGAATTCAAGATATTCTGATACGTTCTTGGATTACTGTTGTGTCATTGGTAGGCATTAATGTTCTCGTGACAACTTGGAGGGTATTTGTACCGTTTATCAATTATAAATGGGCAATTGGATTAGGAATTTGTTTATTTCCTTCTACTTATTTCCATATGTATATTGCAATGTCCACTGTCGTTCAAATTATATTTTTGATTCTCTTCTGTGAATTACAGAAGATGCAATTTTCCGTTATCCTCGAATTGTGTGAAAAAGTTAATCGGGAAATATCAATTAAGTATCTGTGCAGACGTTTCTACAACTGTAAAGACTGCTTGAACTTTTGCAATACGATTCAAATTGATTTTTCATTTACTGTAGCGATAGTTGTAATTTCTGTTGAATTATACCATGGAAGTATCATATTGTTTTTTAGTAATGAAATGAACAAAATCTTGAAATACGTTTATGAAGCCGATCTACTGTTACTGCTTACAACATTGATACTGTATTTTTATTACTTGTCAAATATTTCTGTACACGTAAGTTAATTTCTCGAATTAATTCAAAGAAAATAAGTTTTAATATAGTTTTATATAATTTGTCACGAGATATTATGATTTTTATAATTAATCGTTACCTTTGCTGTTTACAGTAGTATTAATTGATTATTAATTGCATATCGTGATTATAAAATAGGTTAACAAGCTGTATTTAAATTTACAGGTTCAAAATTTATATAATAACATATATAATATTAGTTTCGAGTGTAAAAATACAGAAGACATTAATTTGGTAAGAATATTGAATTTTCACTTCTGTTTTTTTTTTAATTGCTGTGAATATATTACTTTAAACGTTTTTTCAGATATATAATGCGAGTCGGAAATGAACTTCATGTTTTTTGGCACTTTTCCCGTCACAAAAGTAAATATGATGCAGGTGAGTACATTATAATATACTTATAGTAGAGCGTCGTTTATCCGAAACGTCGGTTATCCGAAAGAATTCCAGTTGGCAAATTTAAATTTTCGCTAGTGCTGTGGCGCTGCAATCTTTGGCTATATCTTGGGCTACTCAAATATTTCACGTTTTTGATACTAAATTAACTTCTGAAGTATAATTCTTTTTATTGTTTTAATATATTTCAATATATTTATTTTGTTTGTACAAAATAAAGGATTAATTTTTAGCGATGCAATAGCCACGATTATTATTTAAAAAGTTTACGTTAGGCTTTACATCGACGAAAATTCAACGTGAAGCGACACGCAACGGAGAAAAATTTCAGGATGGGATAGGTTAATATATTTTTCGTGCATAATCGGTTATCCGAAAAATAAGTTATCCGAACAACCCCAGTTTCCAATTGATTCGGATAAACGATACTGTATTTACAAAATTCTACGTTCGGAAATATACAAGCTAATTACTTGCTGTATTTCAATATTAATATAAAGTAATTGCAATGTTATGGTATGGTATAGTATGATTTGTATACTGCTAGTTAACGTAGACTCTGTTGTAATCCGAAAAAAACTAAATTTTGTGTTATTGTTTCTTACTAAATCTAAACACTTTCTTCACATTTAGTAAAGAATTTTATTATATATATATTTTTTTTTTTTTATTTCACAGATGTGTGTGTTTTTAATTACTCAAGCAATTGTTTTTCTACAAATTGGAATGATATACTCTGGCTGATTGTGAAGAAGTATAAACAGAACGGCATATACTAGCGTATATTACTGTCTCTGATATATTATCATGCCTATCCTATTCTAATTTTTATCTATGATCTTGTATAACAAACGTAAAGAGAAATTCGTGTACTAGAATGTATATTATATTGGGAATTTGTTTTATGTCATATCTATTAAGGCACGGTGTTTCAATGTGCTTGTTTACTTTATCTGCTACAGACATTCAGAGTATTCTCAAACATCAAATTTGTTTCATTCTTGTCAAAAACATTTTAATATATACGTATTTATTCATTTACTAGAATGTTATATTTGCAAACTTAATGCATTATAGAATGGATAATGAATATATTCACGCACACTTGTCTTTGCTTAGTGCCCTAAAGTTACGAAATTTATTGTAGCAAAATAGCTAGCTTTGAACATTTTGACTTGGGAATAAAATAATTACTTTATTTCCCATCATTTTCATTTCCATAATAATTTTTTTAATAAAATTTATAATGAATAATATACTCTTTCTACAAATTATCATTTAATAGATTAAAGCTATTTTTAGATAAGTATATGGACGATTGCATTGTTGGATACAATGGGAGAGCGACAGGTGCTGAGTCATGTCCACTGACAGCAAAAGGACGAAAAAAATTAATTATAATTTATCTGTTAAATTTTCGAAACGTTATTTTTAAAATATATTTGATGAGAAATATGATTTATCGGATCATCGCAATGCACTTGTACACACGTTAATAAATGTAATTATTATTAAGTACATTTATAAATCTCTAGTATTATAATTTAAATAAAAACTCGTTATTGATAGACTTAATTTGCTGAGTTAGCCCCTTCCTTTGGGTGCTTTTATCTCAGCTAATGAAAGATACATGAACTAATACAATTGAATTTTCTTTTTAAATTTTAGTTTTAATTTTTTTTTTCAAATGTAATTTTAAGTCATATTCACATAGATTCGTGTTAATATATTACATTGGATGCCTAATGAATTATATTTATTATAAATTTATTATGTAATTCTATGAAACAATTGTATTAATTGTGCATACGATCTAATAAATGATTTATAGCAAAGTTAATGATTTTACTTATATCTATATTGGAAGAGATAAGTTTATTTACCATTTCACTGTTACAATTATTGTGCAAGCATCGAGCGTAAGAACAAAAGTACTATTAATACAATATTTTCAGTTACAATTAAAAACACAAATCTATTACAAAGAGCAAACAAAAGGCACAATCATAATAGTCATCGATACGACAAGAGAATAGGTTTATTATTACGGTGAACGGTAGGAGTTTTTTACGGCACTTTATTCCTCTATTATTTTAAAAGTATAACTATTTAATCAGGGCAGTTTGAATCGTTTTTGTAAAATTTTACCTGTAAAATATCAAGATAAATAACAAAATAATTTTTTCCCTTTTTAGCTGCGCTCCAAATTGTAATTTCAAAGCCACGCGAGAACCCGATATAGGACTATCTATTCCCATTTGAAGAACAGAATAATCGCGAGAATTCCGGTAAGGTCACAAATGAAACCCAGATATAATTAATGATGATGTTGTGAACTTTTATCTATTATAATAGCAATAGAAAGTATTTTTTGTTCGATGCTGTGAGGCGTCAAATCTAAAATATTTATCAAGATGTACATAAAAATTATTTTAATACTTGTATAATTCTTTATATTTCAAAGGAATTATCATACGCAATATTTTTCAATTTCAGTTCATTAACTAATGTAATAAAAGATATTACAGCAAGATCTCGTTTTAATAATTAAAAAATTCACTAAAAGTTAAGAAGGGAGAACTTTAAAAAACATACGAAAATTATTATAAAAAGAGGTATTTTCTTCTCCTTCTATATCTTTGCCTTTTTCCATGTTTATATGAAGTTGGAGTTTCCTTCTCTAATACGTTTTTTGCATGTTTCCCTATCAAGAGCTTTTTCTCTCTTAAGTACCCTCTGGTTCAAGACTTCTTCCACCTTATCTTTCCAACGCATCTTTGGTCTTCCACTTTTCCTTTTTCCTTTTACTACCAGTTTACCGATCTTCTTTTCAACATAATTATCACTTCTTCGCTCTACGTTGCCAAACCACCTCAACTTGCATTCTTGCATTCGTTTTGCTCAAGGGGCCCACCTTAACAGAACTTCTAATAAAATCATTACTTATCTTTGACGCTCCACATATCCATCTCACATTCTCATCCTTGCCACCTTCATCTTTCTTTCTTAATTTAAGCTCTTGATATTGCTCATGTCTCCGCTCCTTATAACATTGCAGGCCTAACAACGGATTTATACAATTTTCTTTTCAGATTGCAGCTAACTTTTCGTCGCATAACACACCGCTCAGCTTCCTCCGGTTTATCCATCCACATTGAATTTTATGCTGCACCTCCGAGTTCAATCCTTCTCTCAGCTCGACAAATGTCGAAAATATTTAAAACTCGAAACAAAAGGAGGCGACACATTTTGGATTTTATTACACTCGTCTCTACCACTCAGAGTCATATAAGCTATTTCAGTTCTGCTAATCTTCATGCCTTTTTTTCCGAAACTGTTCTCCAATCTTCCAGTTTCTTCTCAGCATTAATTTGGAAAAGTTCACACAGCACAATATCATTTGCTAACAGCATACTCCACGGAGTCTCGCACTTCTCGTTACACACTAACACGCCCATTATCAGGACAAATAAATAAGGGCTAAGGGCCGATTCCTGATGCAAACCAACATTAACGAAAAACCCTTCTGTAGTGCCCACACTACTATTAACTTGGGTCTCTGCTTCCTCGTACATTTCCTTGACGAACCTAACATATTTTTCTGGAACATTTTTTTTTTCCCTCAAGCATCTCCATATATCTTGCCTTGGTACGTTATCATACTCCTTTTCTAGATCTATGAACACCATGTGTAAATCTTTCTGCATTTCCCTGTGCCTTTGCATCAGCTGTTTTAGAGCAAAGATAGCATCAGTCGTACTCCTTCCCGGCAAAAAGCCAAGCTGTTCCTCTCCATTCTCAGATTCCTGCCTATTTCTTCTTTCTACAATTTTCTCTCAAATCTTCATAGTATGGGACAATATCTTTATACCTCTGTAATTTTCGCAATTCTGTACATCCCGTTTACCTTTAAAGATTGGCACAAGAATGATCTTCCTCCATTCATTTGAAATCTTCTTTTGCTGATAGTTTCCTCATAAGGTCCCAGAGGATATCAATTCCCTTCTTACCCAAACATCTCCAAGCCTCAACCGGAGTCCGATCAGTGCCTACTGCTTTCCCTATCTTCATTTTCCTAACCATACTTTCCACTTCTTTTCTGTTAATATCTCGCTCCACTCCTTTATTTATTTCTCAATTTTCGTATAAAGTTTTGGCGTTTTCTTCATTCAATAAATTCTTAAAATATACTTTCCATATTTTCTCGAACATTTCGTAATCTTGTAGTATCACTCGTTTATCATCTTTAGTCAGTTTAATAGAGGTTTAATCTTTTCATGCCTTATCTCTTGTTTTGTCAATTCTCATCAACTGCCTTTCACCACCTTTTCTTGCGAAAACTTATAAGCCCCTTCTAAAGTCTTTGCTTTCGCAATAGCCACAACTTTTTGTCATTTTATTTGCCAAATGGTAAGTTTCTTTATCTTCAGACCTTTCCATCAAATCTCACTTTTTCTCTGCCTCGTTTAACTGTGGCTTGTAGCTCAGCATTTCACCATCAAAGTTCCTTTCCTTCTGGCGATTTCTTCCTTGAAGTTTTTTCCAAAACCTCTTCTCGAACTTTCAAAATGTAATTACTATTCAGCAACTACCATGTTTGCCTATCATTCAAAAACTGAATTTCTTTTAACATTTTAACCTTAAACTCTCCTTAATTCCTTTTTTTCAAATCACCACCATTTGATTCTTTGTTCAATCTTGCTAACACAATTCTTACAATGGTCCATAGAAATTCACAATCCACCAGGAGGACTGTATGTTGTGCAGCAACATACAGTTCTCTTGGTTACTTTCTCCATTTAACACTTTACTGTTTTTCACTTCTCTCAGATGTCTCCTGGGGCACAAGATAAATCAATCTGGCTGGATCTACCACCACTCATATATATACCTACATACAAGGCCACTCATATTTACTTATTATTTGAGTATTCCAGATTACTTTTGAGGATCATGGCAACGTAAACGATTAAACTACTCATATTATTCACAGTTATATGAAAAATATGAATGTCACTAGTTCTCTCTGAAATGTCAGAAGTTGATACAGCAATTCACAACAAAAAAAGATGTATTCAAATGGCAAAATCATTATAAACCTATAGTCAGAGAAAGTAAATAGATTTAATTATCTAATTATTATCTATTACGTCAAATTTTACTTTATAATATACTATATTATACTAGCAGATGAGCCCGGCGTTGCTTGGGCAAAAAGTAATGATATCAAAGATTAAGATTATTAGATGATTGCGTATCTTACCCGTTTTCATAAGGTGCATGAATTAGGTCCCCGCTCTTTCGTGACGTATTAGTGAATTTTTAGATGGGTCTAAAATGCAAATTACAGCATTTAAAATAGTACAGTTAAAAGCCGAGTTCTTCAGGTTAATCGTTTACCCTCTCCTTTTCCTCCGAGGAAAAACATCGAAATATCCCTTCTTAGTGTACCCTGTACATTAACGTAACCTGTGTACCAAATTTCAGCTTACAACTCATAACCGTTTGGGCTCTGCGCTTATTATTATCATTATAATTATCAACCAATCTCGATTATATTATAAATTAGTAAAGAACGTTACGTACTCGTAGTATATGTCAATAATTTATTTACTTCATTAGGTAACTATACAATACAACTTTTATTATCTATACATTTGAAAATTTTACAAAATCGATTCGATGTTGCACTTATATTCACATTTAATTGAAAAATTTTAAAAAATTCATAATTCCCATTAGAAGTAATAGGTTTATTTCGAAATGTACTAATTGTAATGCATGAATAATATTTCATATTCTACACGAACTAGTATACTAATTATTTACATAATCGATTTATATATGAATTTATTTAAATGAGAAAGAATTTATAATATAAATATTTCATAAATTGATATGTCTCTGTACAGTAAATGGAATTTTGCTTTGGCATTAGTAAACAAAATATTCGAATTGGAGCTATAAATTTTAATATAGCAATGGGGTTTATATCACACAATCAATGGATTTGCACATTTAAAGCTTCATATAAAGGAATATAAAAGCAAACTATTATTATTATTTTTACTTTAGTTGTTCGAAATTTACAGAACTTTTCCAAATAAAATTAATTTAAAAAGACAAGAATATCATAGTTTAAATTGAGGTTCTTCTGCAAGTTTGGTAATATACAAAATTCAAATATATCTTTAACTTTCAACAAATTACTTTTTGTTTATGACGTTGCTGGTAATTTTTTATTAAGGTAATTAATCTGTTGTGCCAAACCGATTAGACAGAATGGCTGAAACAAACTTGTCTCCAGGTCTTCTATTCTCTCCTATATTCCTCGTAATGAAAATGAATGGGGCAGATATTACTGGAGAAACTGGAAGGAAAAATAATTTATTGCATTTATATAGCCTATTTCTCAAATCATTCTTTGCTATAAGAAGTATAGAATTTCTGGTACCGTCATTATATGAATTGGATCATACAAAATCCTTTATATGCGATCATTGTAAAGTTTACGAAGAAAGTGCAAATATTTTGAGAACAATGATGCTAGTCTTGAATCTTTCGGTGTTAATAATTCTAGGTATTTGGGCATCGAAAAGACACAGCCATTTATATGAAAATTGCAAATCATCGTGGGTATTGATTATAAACTTGCCAATTTTCAGAGAATCTTTCATTAATGAAGTTCTAAAACTACAAGATCGACTTGTTCGCATTTGGGTGTTTATTGTTACAATATCAGGTTTAAGTTTCTTAGTCATGTATCAATTCATATATCTAATTCTTAGTAAATATCAATGGTCAATTAAAGAAACAGTTTGTGTGTTTATATCATCTATGCACGGTGTATAAATTGTAATTATAATAATAGGTTATTATCTTGAAATTATAATAATAGGTTATGCATGTTTTCTCATCTTCTTGTGCAAAGTACAAAAAGTCGCAGTAATTATTCTAGTTTTAATGATGAGACAGCAGTATTTTCGAATTCGTCCTAAACGTTTCCTTCTTATTTTGCTTAAAATGAATGACAGTTTGAAATTCTGTACATTTAGTCAAAATATGTTTTTATTAATACTTTTCACAATTGGTATAGTTGTAGAATTCTCTTTGGGAAAAATTTTACTTTCCGATGACAGACTACAGAAGATTACTGGAAGGAAAAATACATGTTTTATAAACACTATGTTTTATTAATTTATTTTATTTTTCTTATTTTGTTAATATTTATATATATGTATTACCTATCTAGTTTATATTTAATATTCTCCCACAGTGTAGAAAATATTTGTTATTACATGTTCAGAAAATCACTATTTTATTTTCATAATTTTCTGTTTATTTATTTAGCAAAAAATTGCCTGTTTTATAGTAAATTAACAGATTAAACCCTTACTATTTATTTTTTCAAATTAAATTTATTATAATAGACATTGTATTTTTACTTGTATATTCAATGTTTTATTTACAGCATAAAGATTTTTCTTCTGAAATATATGACATTTATTTCGAAACCGAAGACAAACAGAATTTACTCATGGTAATTCAATCTAATAATATATAATTTGCAGTAATATAAATAAATTATAAAGGTTAAAGTATTTGATATAAACTTTAGAAATGTTTTTTTTACCTTCAGATATACAATCTTTTGCCCATGTGCGATATCTCTCAATTGAGCATCAATTTTCTTGGATGTTTTACTATAACTAAAATAACTACCATATGGGTAAGATTTGAAAATACAGTTATAAATGAATTTATTATCGGTCGGTTTTGTTATCACCGCGTCCAGCGACTTTGGGCAGAAAGAATATTTGTACGCGCTTCCAACTCGCGAGCGACTTCTGTTCAAAGTGGACACGTGTTGTTTACAAGATGGCGGCGAGAAGGCTATGGAAAATATGACAAGTATTAAACGATAAATTTGAAAGTTAATTGTTATCACTAAATAGATACACAACAAATATAAACAATCTTTATAGAATAATAAGTTAAAAAAGTTTTATTTTTTAAACAAAATCAGAAATTATTAAATTACGTAAAAGATTATTAATTAAAGTAAATTATACAACATATATACAGAATTTAATTGTTTTTCTGTTTACATTCATCTGTAAAATCAGCCATTTTCTTCGTTGGAAGCGGCGATCAAACTGGCTTGGTAGCTGCTTCCTGCACGCTCGAGTAGAAGCGTTAAATATTTTAATATTTCATTTGTTATGTGCTTTATTAACTTTACATAAATATTAACAACAACCGAAACCCGATATTTAGAAAATAGACACACACAAATGCCGAAAATAATCGGGCTAATATTATTTACGGCAGTTATGGTGTCTTTTAACTATAAATAATAATAAGTATATTAATTCACTTAATTATAAATAATAATATGAGACAATTAAATTAAAATTATATAAATTTTATTGCTTTACAGATGTTTACTTATTTCTTTACACAAGTGTACGTCGTGTGTAATATTTAAAAACAACTCACTAGCATTGCTTTAGAGCTCGAATGTGAAAATTGATACTACAATGTTTTTCCCGGATATAAAATCATTTACTAATTCTGTAGTTTATGATTGTTTACTTGGCTGGATTAGAAATCAATGGTAATTTGGGCCTGCATTCTCTATAACTTGTACTTTGCACATAAGCAAATTGTTTTTCCTTCAAAAAAAGATGGCTTCAACATAGTTTTA